TAATCCTGAGGAATTGGGGGCCTGTTTATAGAGGGTTTTACCTGGATTCTTTATGAGTTGTCTGACAACAGACAAACAAAATTCACCATACGGTGGTCTGTTGCCAGTCTTTATTTGGTTACATATTATTATGCATTGAGCATTGAAATGTCCATGAGATGGAAGAAGAAAAGTTTCATGTACCACTTGTAACTCTTACGAACACAGTCAACAAAACCAATCTGCATGTCACATTTTCAACCAAGCGCATGTTTTGTGTATAATCAATCACTGTCACTGGTTTTCGAATACGTTCATTAGTCACTCGATCAACTTTGCCACTGTCTTGCATTTCATTACGGTGAATGGTTGTCAACAATGTGACATCTCGTTTGTCATGCCACCGTAATGCCATGATGTCATTGGCAGTAAACACCTGCACGTCATCACCACGAGCACCTGCGTTGAGCCTGGGCATATGTTTACGATTAGAACGCACTGTGCCACACACATCTGTCTTTTTTCACTCGCATGAAATCACTGAGTAATGGGCTTGTGTACCAGTTATCGGTAATATAATGTATGCCCCTTTACCAAGATAAGGTGCCATCATGTTTCTCACTACGTCACTGAGATACCCAATAACATCTTGGTATCTTTCAATGTTTTACTTCCCGTGTATACAACAATATCCAACACCAGGCCACTGGTCACATCACAGAGTACAAACAGTTTTATACCAAAGCGTTTTCCTCTTGCTCGGTATATACTGCTTGAATGACAGTCTACCTTTGAACAAAATCAAAGGACTCGTCAATATTACAAGATTCTTGAATGGATAAAAGTATATGCTGAACTTTTTGTTTGAGATACATGAAAACATTTCTAATCTTGTATAACCTGTCACTTCTGTCAGGCCTGGTTTTGTCAGAGAAGTGCAACATACGTAAGAGTAAGATAAACCTGTTCACTGGTATGATTTCACTGAAGACCGGGGTAGAAATTAGCCGATCTGTGGACCAGTATGCTTTTATATTATGCTTATAGACATGAGGCATAAGCATTATTGTTGCAAAAAGCAAATACATTTCTGCAACAGTCGTCTCTTTCCACCTGTGTAGTCTTGACTGTGGTGATATGATCGTATTTGCCATGGTGTACTCAAAATACTTATTACTTTCCCTGACAATAGTTTTTCCCTCAATGGCTGGTCAAAGAATAATTCAAAGAATTCCAGTTCATTGGCCGTGGTTCCAAGGGGACAAGTAGGTAGAATTCCACTTTGAGAGTCATCAAAGTGGTGAGGCTTGGGAACAAAATTGGGATTTTGCTGCCAATCCCACATACGGTTTTCTGGGGATACCTGGACACATAGGCTGGTTGTGGCGGTGGTTGTGGTTGTGGTGGCTGGTGCTGAACGCTCCGCTTTGGCCTTGAACTGACAGTCACAGGCGTGGTCCCAGCGGGGGCTGGTGAGTCACGCATGGCTGTGCCACTACCATCCACCACTACCCACCTTCCCCAGATGCCTGGGGTCTCTCCATGCCAAGTGTAAGCACATCACCTCACTATCACTACCTAAAACTGTGTAGGGCCACAGATGTACCTCCAGATGTACTCCGGGATGTCACACCGTTCCCTGCACAGCCAAGGGTACAGCTACCCGAGCGCAGGCGGCGCGAACATACACGACGCTTCACTGTGAAATATGATTCCTCATATCACTACTTCGAATGATCCGTCGAGCGCAATAAAATCACACTCCATGTCACTACATCATCATTACTGAAGTCAAGGCCTGGCCACCAAAATATTAGTTTCTCTTGCGTGAGGAACAACCGACCGTGAGTCCACAGTGCCCACACCAGAGGTTGAAGTTGAGGATCGACAGGGATAATTAGTTTCTGCACTATTATCGATATCCTGGTCATTCTTTCGTCACATATCAAAGCGGCCGTAAATTCGTCTTCTTTCCACTTCCATCAGTGTCAGAACATCCGATAGGAAGAGGAAGATCCCAATTTTCTGGGGGAATGAGAGCTGACATGCGACGAGGCATGTGAACAAGGGTAACTGAGCCGGCGTTCCAACAATGCTATGCGGGCGCCTAGATTTTTTGTTTACAGCGCACACCCACCATGCAGACCTGTTCTCTCACGTGTAGGCCTATGAGCGCTTTCGCTCTAAATTTGACGGCGCTAGAATTTTGGCATAGATCTATGGTTTGGACACTCAACGTGAAGCCGTAGATCTACGGGATGGACCCTGAAAGGGTTAATTATAGCATAGTTGTACAGTAGATTATTAATTATATCATAGTTGTATAGTAGATTATTAATTATATCATAGTTGTTCAGTAAATTATTAATTATATCATAGTTGTAAAGTAAATTATTAATTATATCATAGTTGTACAGTAAATTATTAATTATAAGTAAATCTAATTTATATAAGACAAAAGAAATATTCATATATTCAAAAATGTTTTTTGTGAAACAGTGATTCAATTACATTCCTGTCAACAATGGATAAAAGGTTCAAAAGTAATTGTCGAAATTATGATATGGGAATACGTATTGAGTACATGAGTACTGAGTATTGAGCAATTAATCTAGGATGATTAAGTGGCTTTTGAGAAGAGTCTTAAATTGATTTTCAGACCGGGTTACTCTAGTATCTTCTGGTAGTGAATTCCATATTTTGGGGCCCTTTATGTGCATAGAGTTTTTACACTGTGTGAGCTGAGTGTATTGCTACCCGAGCCATGATAATTTGGTACCTGGGTGTTAGGCACCTGTTGTGGGTTGCATCCTGGGGGAGAAGATTAAAGAACCTCACTGGTAATGAGACTGACAGTCCCTGATGCTGCACTAACTTAATTGGGTTATCCTGGGTTACGACCCTTCTGGGTTAATATTGAAAATAAATCACTTTGACTTTTTCGTGTTATCCTAGGTAATCTACACATATGCTGCTATGTATGATAATTTATGTAACTGTACTTACGTGTACCTATACCTGAATAAATTTACTTGCATGACCTGGTAGGTAATGCTCTTGCTTCACACACTTGAATGTCCATGGTTTGATCCTTGGCAAGGGTGAAAACACTGGGCATGTTTCCTTACGCCTGTTGCCCCGTTCACCTAGCAAGCAAGTAGGTACCTGGGTGTTAGTTGACTGACGTGGATTTCAGTATCAAAGATGGTTCACACAAACCCGCTACCATTATAGTATGCTCCTCACTTAGTGACAAATTCATTTACCAACATGGTCTTAGGAACAGAACTCCGTCGTTAAGTGAGGAGAGACTGTACTCATTTATATAATACATATTCTTGAAACTCACTGTTCAGCAGCTTGGTTAATTTATATATACTGTTAAACCTCTCACTCAAAGAAAAAAATAATCAAGTCGCATCAAAATTTTCATTACTGTTTTCATTTACTGATCTCAGATACAAGTTAAGACTTTTGCACCAGCCTTTTTTTTTTCCTGTATGGATGTCTTGCTCTGTTCTGAGCTACAGTAATAAATCCCCTCTGAATTTTTAAAGGACAATTGTCCTCATCTTTTCTAGCTTGCTGGGCACATCACTGGCTAAAGCAGCACATATCAGCTTCTTTGTCTGTATTGGGGGTAGGCCAGTTAGCATATTAAAATGTTTTATCATTACACCTATACACCAAATTGTTGTTAAAATGTAAAGTAGTCTCAGGTGCCAGCTCTGTTGATGTTCAACATCCAAACAGCAACAGCATGGCTGAGAGTAGAAGACCTCTATAATTGATTTTATAAATAATGCTCTTTCAGTCATTCAGGTATGATATGCATTATATATTTTCATGTTTATAATTCAACCATATTTAATCCCATTTCTTCTTAGAATAATTTATTTAAATATATACTGTGATACCAAAGTATCTGTAATTACAATTTTAGAAATACAGTAATACTGTATTAATATTATAGTGATTCCAAAGTATTTGTTATTACAGTTTTAGGAATGCAGTAATACTGTATTATTGTTATTATAGTGTTATTCTCATTCTTCCTGCAGATAACAAGATTGGCGTGTTTGTAAGATACAAAATGTTCTCACTTTTCTATGGATTGTACAAATATTTGTTCAAGAAAGATGAGTTTTTTGTCCTCATACTTGGACTAGATAATGCCGGCAAAACTGTAAGTATTATTTGCTAATAATGGTAGGAAGTCCCCAAGTGTTAAATGCCAGAGTTGTGAAGTTTCACACTTACGAACAAGGCAATGTGTGGTGTGAATATAATGCAGAGAATTCGTAGTTTGGAAGTTAGGAGGAGGTGCGGGATTACAAAAACTGTTGTCCAGAGGGCTGAGGAAGGGTTGTTGAGGTGGTTCGGACATGTAGAGAGAATGGAGCGAAACAGAGTGACTTCAAGAGTGTATCAGTCTGTAGTGGAAGGAAGGCGGGGTAGGGGTCGGCCTAGGAAAGGTTGGAGGGAGGGGGTAAAGGAGGTTTTGTGTGCGAGGGGCTTGGACTTCCAGCAGGCATGCGTGAGTATGTTTGATAGGAGTGAATGGAGACAAATGGTTTTTAATACTTGACGTGCTGTTGGAGTGTGAGCAAAGTAACATTTATGAAGGGGTTCAGGGAAACCGGCAGGCCGGACTTGAGTCCTGGAGATGGGAAGTACAGTGCCTGCACTCTGAAGGAGGGGTGTTAATGTTGCAGTTTAAAAACTGTAGTGTAAAGCACCCTTCTGGCAAGACAGTGATGGAGTGAATGATGGTGAAAGTTTTTCTTTTTCGGGCCACCCTGCCTTGGTGGGAATCAGCCAGTGTGATAATAATAAAAAAATAATTTATTTATTTAATATTTATCTGCACTTACAAATGTGTGTGATATACAGTACTGTAACCCTTTACTGTATAAAAATATACAGTGGACCCCCCACCTTACGATATTAATCCATTCCTGAGAGCTCAACGTAAGCCGAAATTATCGTTAGCCAAATTAATTTTCCCCGTAAGAAATAATGGAAATCAAATTAATCCGTTCCTGACACCCCAAATTATGAAAAAAAAAAAATTTTACCACATGAAATACTGTAGTATTAATTTTAATACACACAAACTGAAGAAGACATGTACAATTACTACTCTACTAAGAATAGAATACATGACACATATGTACCTTTATTGAAGATCTGGTGATGATTGATGGGATGGGAGGAGGGGAGAGTGTGGAAGTTATTGTTTAGAAGGGGAATCCCCTTCCATTAGGACTTGAGGTAGCATGTCCTTTTCCGGGGTTAATTCCCTTCTTCTTTTAATGCCACTAAGACCAGCTTGAGAGTCACTGGACCTCTGTCGCACAACAAATCTGTCCATAGAGCTCTGTGCCTCCCGTTCCTTTAAGATTTTCCTAAAATGGGCCATAACATTGTCATTGTACAGGTTGCCAACACGGCTTGCAGTAGCTGTCAGGGTGATTTTCATCCGTAAAGGTTTGCAGTTCAACCCACTAGGCACACATTTCCTTAATCGCTTTTTTCAATTCCATACTAATTCTCACCCTTTTTACCACAGGGATGGCACTAGAAGCTTTCTTGGGGTCCAAGGTGACTTATTTTGCAGTTACAAGCACTCAAAACACTAGGATAATATGAAATGTACCGAATGTATGCATAGATGCAACCGCACTGGCTGGCTTGTAAACACTGGCGCTGAGGCCACACGTGGGACGTGTCCCGGACGAATCGTGTAAGGCGAGTTTTTTATCGTGAGGTGAGGCAAAATTTTTGCGTTTAGATGCTTCATATGACGGATTTAACGTAATGCGATGTGTTCGTAAGGCGGGGTCCACTGTAGTTGGCTGCTTGCACTCTCAAGGAATGGCGATGCTGAAGGTCAAATGATTATTTGAATGGTCAAAAGTACAAATTCCTGATAAGCCAACTACAATGGTGCCTCGAGTGTGAACTTAATTCGTTTCAGAAGACTGTTCGAGTGCCGATACTGAACGAATTTGTTCCCATAAGGAATAATGTAAATTAGATTAGTCCGTTTCAGACCCCCAGAAATACACTTACAAAAGCACTTATAAAAATACACTTACATAATTGTTCAAGTTGGGAGCTGTATGAAACTTGAGGTACCGCTGTATGTTGGTGGAAAATGGCCGATGTGGTAAACAAAATGGTTCTTGGGGCATAAGTGACTTGTTTGTAAGTTGGGACACTATAGCCATGACTCATTCACTAGTTGGGATCTGTTGTACTCTACTGCATTAATAAATAGATTTTACAAACTATGGAAAACATCTTCAATATATTTTATTTTGTCTTACAAGAGAGTCCTTTGTTTTTCACTCGATAAATATTCCACTTAAGTTTTTACTCTGTGCCACTTAACATTCGACATTTTCTAATGTGGGTCATGTATCAACTGATTTGTATTGGTCACTTTTGACTATTTTCACAGACATACCTGGAAGCAGCTAAAACCAAGTTTACAACAGGATACAAAGGCCTAAATCCAAGTAAAATAACCACAACAGTTGGGCAAAATGTTGGAGGAATAACATATGCAGGTATTAAGCTGAGCTTCTGGGATCTTGGTGGTCAGGAGGAGCTGCAGCCATTGTGGGAGAAGGTAAGAATTTGAGTGTTTGCAAAACTGAACTGAATGTAATTAATGATTAAAGGGTTTTGTTTTCTTGCAGTTTATAGCCAAAACAATGAAGAGAGCCAAACTTTCTAACGAAAAATTTCAATTTATTTCCTACGGATTGGTAAATATGTGAATTAACATAGTTCAGTGTTGTATGAAGAATCTTAATTTTACTCCAAAACTTACTTACCAACCTACATCTTTCAACAAACCGGCCATATCCCACTGAAGCAGGTTGGCACAGAAAGAAAAACGAAAGTTTCTCTTTTAAACTTTAGTAGTGTATAGAAAAGGAGTTGCTAGCCCTTGCTCCTGGCATTTTAGTTGCTTCTTACGACACGCATGACTTTCGGAGGAAGAATTCTCTTTGAATTTTCCATGGAAAATCAACCTAGATAACTACGCTAAAATTTGTGTAACGTAGTGTATGATAGTTTAAGCCTACCCAAATTATCTAAGGCCAGCCTAAATTTTAGCAAGTATTAACTGACTCAGGAAACTGTAATGACACGATTGCAAACAAACCATACCACGGGTGGGGTTTGAACCCACGGTCAGAGTGTCTCAAAATTCCAGTGGCTAACGTGACTCTCTTACCGCAGGTTCAAACCCCACCCATGGTATGGTTTGTTTTTTTTAGTAAGTATTATTTATTGTCAATGAATTGTATTAATTTTATGATGTTCAGAATATTTTGTGCAGAGTTATAGAAAAAACAAGTACATACAACATTTCCTCACTTAGCGATGTACTACTTGTTTACCGATGACTCGGACTTACGATGGGCTCTCTGACCAGTATGCATACTTAAATAATAATAATAATAATAATAATAAGTATGGAGAGTATGGAGGAGGTGAACGTATTCAGATATTTGGGAGTGGACGTGTCAGCAGATGGGTCTATGAAAGATGAGGTGAATCATAGAATTGATGAGGGAAAAAGAGTGAGTGGTGCACTTAGGAGTCTGTGGAGACAAAGAACTTTGTCCTTGGAAGCAAAGAGGGGAATGTATGAGAGTATAGTTTTACCAACGCTCTTATATGGGTGTGAAGCGTGGGTGATGAATGTTGCAGCGAGGAGAAGGCTGGAGGCAGTGGAGATGTCATGTCTGAGGGCAATGTGTGGTGTGAATATAATGCAGAGAATTCGTAGTTTGGAAGTTAGGAGGAGGTGCGGGATTACCAAACTGTTGTCCAGAGGGCTGAGGAAGGGTTGTTGAGGTGGTTCGGACATGTAGAGAGAATGGAGCGAAACAGAATGACTTCAAGAGTGTATCAGTCTGTAGTGGAAGGAAGGCGGGGTAGGGGTCGGCCTAGGAAGGGTTGGAGGGAGGGGGTAAAGGAGGTTTTGTGTGCGAGGGGCTTGGACTTCCAGCAGGCATGCGTGAGCGTGTTTGATAGGAGTGAATGGAGACAAATGGTTTTTAATACTTGACGTGCTGTTGGAGTGTGAGCAAAGTAACATTTATGAAGGGATTCAGGGAAACCGGCAGGCCGGACTTGAGTCCTGGAGATGGGAAGTACAGTGCCTGCACTCTGAAGGAGGGGTGTTAATGTTGCAGTTTAAAAACTGTAGTGTAAAGCACCCTTCTGGCAAGACAGTGATGGAGTGAATGATGGTGAAAGTTTTTCTTTTTCGGGCCACCCTGCCTTGGTGGGAATCGGCCGGTGTGATAATAAAAAAAAAAAAATAAAAAAAAATAATAATAAGAATATCTTTATTTCCTACAAGTACATGTACATGGTATACAGGCCTAGCTGACATCAGTGACATACTACTATATAGAGAGACCCTTGTTATGCTGAATATTTCGGGCAAATTAGGTCAGTGTCCCAGGATGCGACCCACACCGGTCGACTGACACCCAGGTACCCATTTTACTGATGGGGAACATAGACAACAGGTGGAAAGAAACACCCAATGTTTCTACTCTGGCTAGGAATCGAACCCAGGCCCTTGCCGTGTGGAGCGAGAGCTTTAACCACCAGGCCACCAGAGCCTGGTGATTTCCTCTGTTCTGTTTATTATATTATACAGTACACTACTGTATAAACATTTAAAAATGTTATAAATGGTGCAAGGATGACAGGAAAGCAATGTCAAAGATGATTGACATAAACCCACTACCATTATAGTTTGCTCCTCGTTTAGCGAGGAATTCGTTCGTCGACGCAGTATTATGAATGGAACTCCGTTGTTAAGTGAGGAGAGGCCGTATGCTCTCAGCTTGTTTGACAAAATAATAATTGCTGTAACTGCAAAGTTTAAAAGTCATATTGTATAAAAAGTGCAGAGGAAACTAGGCAAGTATCTCCACCAGGTGCCAGATCAACCAGGCTGTGATGGATATGTGGGGCAGCGGGCCTCCAGCAGCAACAGCCTGGTTGACCAGGCGAGCACCAGATGAGCCTGGCCCATGGCCGGGCTCAGAGAGTAGATATACTCTTGAAATTCTTCAAAGGTATATCACATTACTTTGAGTGTTTAAGTTTCATTCATCAATCATTCAGTAGAAGTCTTTTATTTTTTCTAGTATTTGTATTTTACACAATGGCAGATCAGTATTTTATGAATTAATTTTTTTTTCAGTATTTTGCTGAGTGTCACGCTATAATCTATATGGTAGACTCTGCAGACAGAGAGAGAATGGATGAATCAAAAGAAGCATTTGGTAAGTTATTGCTTTTCACAGGCATAGTATTGTACATGTGTTATGTATTTATATTTTCATCAGTGTCTTCTATACACAGCCTCATTATCCAGGGAGTTATTTCCTTACCTTCATACAAGTATGAAATAAGAGGCCTTTTGAATATTTTGTACCCTGGCTGGTTGGTTGCTGGTCATTTTTTTCTGTCTCCTTAAATCAAGGGTCTACTCTGTGTGTGTACTCACCTAATTGTGGCTGCAGGGGTCGAGACTCAGCTCCTGGCCATGTGTGTGTGTATGTGTGTGTGTGTACTCTCCTAATTGTGGTTGCAGGGGTCGAGACTCAGCTCCTGCCCTGCCTCTTCACTGACCCTTACTGGATCCTCCCTCTCCCTGCTTCATGAGCTTTATCATACCTCATCTTAAAACTATGTATGGTTCCTACCTCCACTACATCACTTGCCAGACTGTTCCACTTCCTAGCAACTCCATGGCTGAAGAAATACTTCCTAACATCCCTTTGGCTCATCTGAGTCATCAACTTCCAATCATGACCCCTTGTTTCTGTGTCCCATCTCTGGAACATCCTGTCTCTGTCCACCTTATCTATTCCACACAGCATTTTGTATGTCGTTATTATGTCACCCCTTGACCCTGTCCTCCTGTGCTGGTGTGTGGTGTTGTCGCGTGTGTGTGTGGTGTGGTTGTGTGTGGTGTGTGTGTGTGTTGTGTGTGTGTACGTACTCCTAGTTGAGGTTGCTGGGGTCGAGTCCAAGCTCCTGGCCCTGCCTCTTCACTGGTTGCTACTAGGTCACTCTCCTGAACTGTGAGCTTTGTCATACCTCTGCTTAAAGCTATGTATGGATAGTGTGTGTCTGTGTCTGTCTGTCTGTCTGTCTTTTTTGTGTGTGTGTGTGTGTGTCTGTGGTCTGTGTGTGCATGTGAATTTGTGTGTGTCTATGTCTGTGTCTGTTTGTCTGTTTTTGTCTTCTTTCTTTCAACACACCGGCTGTATCCCACTCAGGCGGGGTGCCTCAGAAGGAAAAATGAAAGTTTCTTGTTTTATATTTAGTAAAATATACAGTAGAAGGGGTTACTAGCCCCTTGCTCCTGGCATTTTAGTCACCTCTTATAACACGCATGGCTTACAGAGGAAGAATTCTGTTCCACTTCCCGATGGAGAAATGTTCACTTTCAACTTTCTACCTTTACACACACACTCCCAAACTCAACCACTAACCTTTGCAATTGTTCTTTAGAATCTCCCATAAGCACAGTACCATCAGCAAAAAGTAACTGTGTTAATTCCCATTTTGTATTTGATTCCCCATAATTTAATCCCACCCCTCTCCCGAACTCCCTAGCATTTACTTCTTTCACAACCCCATCTATAAATATATTAAACAACCATGGTGACATTATACATCCCTGTCTAAGACCTACTTTTACCGGGAAGTAGTCTCCCTCTCTTCTACACACCCTAACCTGAGCCTCACTATCCTCATAAAAACTCTTTACAGCATTTAGTAACATACCACCTATTCCATATAGTACTTGCAACATCTGCCACTTTGCTTCCTTATCCACTCTATCATATGCCTTTTCTAAATCCATAAATGCAATGAAAACTTCCCTACCTTTATCTAAATACTGTTCACATATATGCTTCAATGTAAACACTTGATCTGCATATCCCCTACCCACTCTAAAGCCTCCTTGCTCATCTGCAATCCTACTCTCTGTCTTACCTCTAATTCTTTCAATAATAACTCTACCGTACACTTTACCTGGTATACTCAGTAAACTTATCCCCCTATAATTTTTACAATCTCTTTTGTCCCCCTTCCCTTTATATAAAGGAACTATACATGCTTTATGCCAATCCCTAGGTGCCTTTCCCTCTTTCATTCATTTATTAAACAAAAATACTAACCACTCTAACGCATTATCCCGTCCTTGCTTTTAACATTTCTGTCATGATCCCGCCATTTCCTGCTGCTTTACCCCCTTTCATTCTATGTAATGCCTTCACGCACCTCCCCCACACTCACATCCTGCTCTTCTTCACTCCTGAAAGATGTTATACCTCCCTGACCAGTGCATGAAATTACTGCCTCCCTTTCATCATCAACATTTAAAAGTTCCTCAAAATATTCCCACCATCTACCCAATATCTCCAGCTCCCTGTCTACTAACTCCCCTACTCTGTTTTTAACTGACAAATCCATTCATTCCCTAGCTTTCTTAACTTGTTTATCTCACTCCAAAATTTTTTCTTATTTTCAGCAAAATTTCTTGCCAGTGCCTCTCACACACTTTCATCTGCTCTCCTTTTGCACTCTCTCACCACTCTCTTCACCTTTCTTTTACTCTCCATATACTCTGCTCTTCTTACAAACCTCTTCTTAAAACCTCTCATAAGCTACCGTCTTCTCTTTTATAACACCCTTTACTTCATCATTTTACCAATCACTTCTCTTTCCTCCTACACCCACCTTCCTATAGCCACAAACTTCTGCCCCACATTCTAATACTGCATTTTTAAAACTATTCCAACCCTCTTCAACCTTCCCACTACTCAAACTTGCATTTGCCCACCTTTCTGCCAATAGTTGCTTATATCTCACCCTAATTTCCTCCTCCCTTAACCCTTTGACTGTTTTGGCTGCATGTATACATCTTACGAACCAGTGTTTCGGATGTATATATACTCAATAATTCTAGCGGCTTCAAATCAAGCAGGAGAAAGCTGGTAGGCCCACATGTGAGAGAATGGGTCTGTGTGGTCAGTGCACTGTATAAAAAAATCCTGCAGCACACAGTGCATAATGAGAGAAAACAAACTCCGACCGTATTTTTGGATTAAAACGCTGATTTTGAGATGTATTTTCCTATAGTATTTATGGTTGTATTCTCGTTTTCCTGGTCTCATTTGATAGAATGGGAAACATATAACAGAAATAGAGATGATTTTGATTAGTTTCACGATGAAAACGACCTTGAAATTGAGCTCAAAGTAGCGAAATGTTTGATTTTTACCAATGTTCAAGAATAAGCAAATCACACCACACGTCCAATACGTGTCAACTGGGGAGTCTGATATATCTTTCGTTAGTGCACTGATATTATTTATACCATTTTTATAATAATGCAGTAGTCTGCATAACAGTAAATCTTCTATTTTTTATGTGAATAAAAAATCAAAATAGAAAGCAAGAGTAATATAAGAGGGGCCTGGAGATGTGACTAATGAACAGAGGATATGTTATTTTAGTGCCAAGCATGTCTACATTGTTTATTCTGGACCCTATTTTGATATTGGCATCTTTTTTAATTTGTGTGAAATTGACCAAATTGACAATTTCTGACCACTTTATTGAGTAGTTGAAATCAGTAAATGGGCAGTTTCTTGTACTCACTTGATAGAAAAATGGAGTTCTAAAGAAATAGCTGTGAGTTTGGTTGACTGGAACAATGGAATTGGCCGAAAATAGGGCTCAAAGTCGGCGAAATCGCTGATGCGTATGTATTGCCGAGATCACTAACTTCGCAGGAGAGTAATTCCAGAAGTTTTCAATCAAATTTCATACTTGGCGTCATTACCATCAGGAAAAGATTCTCCATCATTTCATAAGAAAAGATGATTTTTTTTTTTTTCCAAAAATTTTTCGACACCAGGAGACACTGCAGGATTTGGGGTTGTGACAGTCAGAGGGTTAATTTATACACTTTCATTTCTCTCTCTTCCATGGGATGGATTGTGAAGGACCTGCCTAGTATGGGCCAACAGGCCTACTGCTGTGTTCCTCCTTTATTATGTTCATATGTTCTTATAACCATATTAGACAGATTGTTCCACTCATGAACATAAGAACATAAGAAAGGAGGAACACTGCAGTAGGCCTGTTGACCTATACAGTGGACCCTCGACCAACGATATTAATCCGTTCCTGAGAGCTCATCGTTAGTTGAAATTATCGTTAGTAGAGTTAATTTTCCCCATAAGAAATAATGGAAATCAAATTAATCCATGCAAGACACCCCAAAGTATTGAAAAAAAAATTTTACTCACATGAAATTTTAATTTTAATACACACAAACTGAAGAAGACATGCACAATTACATGACACTTACCCTTATTGAAGATCTGGTGATGATTGATGGAATGGGAGGAGGGGAGAGTGTAGATGGTGTTAGTGTTTAGAAGGGGAATCCCCTTCCATTAGGACTTGAGGTGTCAAGTCCTTTTCCGGGGTTACTTCCCTTCTTCTTTTAATGCCACTAGGACCAGCTTGAGAGTCACTGGACCTTCTGTTGCACAACATATCTGTCCATAGAGGCCTGTACCTCCCGTTCTTTATGATTTGTCTAAAGTGGTTCACAACATTATCATAGTAATAGTCACCAGCATGGCTTGCAATAGCTGTGTGAGGGTGATTTTCATCCATAAAGGTTTGCGCTTCAACCCACATTGCACACATTTCCTTAATCTCTTTCTTCATATCCATAGTAATTCTCTCCCTTTTTGCTCTAGGGTTGGCACTAGAAGCTTTCTTGGGGCCCATGGTGACTTATTTTGCAGGTGAAATCACTAAAAACGCTGTGATGATATGAAATGTTCCGATTGTATGTTTGGATGGGACCGCGGTGGCTGGCTGGCTTGTAAACACTGGCACCCACGGGACAAGTGAAGCGCGGTCAGGCAAAAAAGTGGACGTGTCTCGAACGGAACGAATTGTGTTGGTCGAGTTTTTTAGTGCTAGTCGAGGCAAAATTTTTGCGTTAAAATGTATCGCTAGTCGGATTTAACGTTAGATGATGCCATCGTTGGTCGAGGGTCCACTTTGGCAGGTCCATCACAAATCCAACCCATTAACAGAATAAATGCTACCCAAGCAATAAGCTTTGATAATTCTATTTAGTTCTTTGATAATTCTATTTAGATCTGGTCACCATAATCAAGTTTCGATAAAATTAGGGCTGAACGTTGGCAAAGGAGAGTTCTACAATCATCTCCCCATG